AGGTGATGGTCAGCCAGACTGGGACACACTGCTCCACCATCAGCTCCATCTCTTCTGGTGTTACTCCATGGGCCAAGGTGCCCCTGGGTGCCCAGGGTCCCAACCCAGGGCAGTGGCACAGAGGCAGCTCTAGGCACCGTGCTGAGCATCACCAGGCCAGTACACAAACTTCTGTGAGACCACAGTGGGGTCAACCAGCTCCAAGCCCTCTTCTGTCCTTGTCCCATACCGTAGTCACTGCTCACACCTCAGAGCAGGTCCCATTTTCCTTTGCTCCCTGCCTCTCTCCAGCATGTTGCTTCTGGGTGATGGAGATGTCCCTGCTGGGGCTGCCCTGACCTCTCTGCTCTCCGGCCCTAGGAGTGACGAGGTGGTGGCTGTGGCCAGCATGAACTACGACCCCATTGTTTCCAAGGTGGCCGAGGTCCTGGCTGCTGGCAGGGCCATCCGAAAGCGTGACGTGGAGTAAGTAGACGTGCTGTGCCAAGAGCTGGGCTGGGGAGGAGCCTGCAGAGGGCCGCCTAACCCTGAATGTCTTTTCTCTCTCTGTCTCCTGCTGCATCTGCACCTTTTAGGCTGTTTGTCCGTCACGGCAAGTACGTTCAGTTTTGGGTCCTGGGTCTGTGTGGGGTATTGCAGGTGTGCCACATCTCCAACTCCTGCATGGAGACGCTGATGATGGCTGTGTGCTTGTATTGCAACTCAAACCTGCTTGAATTGTTTTGCATGGGGTGGAAATGCAGGCAGAGCAAGGGATGCTGCACAGCTTGGAAAGCTCACAGTGCTGCTCGTTTTTTGTCTTCATAGAACTGGAGATATGTCCTGGCTAACGGGGAAAGGCTCCTAACAGACATGGCTGCAACCTCCTGATGCTGCGCTGGCCTCGAGGAGATGGGGATGAGGGATGGCTGCAGAGCTCCACGGCACGATGCAAATAATGCACCCGAGTCATTTTCCCTTGAGACTTGGCCAAACCCAGCCTTTTTCACCCAGCAGTCACCTTCCCAGCAGCTCTGTGCATGCAAACCGCTGTCAGCTCTCCTGGGTGTGGGGTCAGTGGGTGGAATCTCCACTGCAAAGTCAAGGAAACAGACCCTGGGGGAGCAGGGTTGGCACCAGCATGGCTGGCAAGGAGCTGCAGACTGCTGACATGGGAGCCACGGTGCTGGTGGGTGCCACATCCATGCTCTCCAAGCGGCACAACAAGAGCCCCAAGCACATCCCTTCACCTTATGAACAGCATGAGTGCCTTTTGTTGTTCTCTGTAGCCAGTACATGCTCTCAAGCACATTGCTCCTTCCTAGATCCTCTTTCCTCCCCATGGAGCCCAGCATCTGCACCTTCTCCTTAGTGGTAATGGAAAGATTGACATTGCTGCTGCCATGCTACTGCAGGCAGAACAGCTGGAGGAGTATTTCTGGCTGTTCTCTGCCCTTAGTCATTTACTCTTCCTGTCTCCTGATGGCAGGGCTACATATCTCATCTCAACTGGCAGAGTCAGTGCTCTGTGGCCATGCTTGCTGCTCCTGGCTGGCAGAAGGGCCCCAGTTCTTGCTCAGGAGTGGAGGTGGCCAGTTCAGATCCCTGTGTTTGTCCACTCAGCAGAGCCAGGTGTGAGATTCCCCCACGGACAGCATGGGGAGCTTTGTTCCCCATCTGTCATTGCATTACCCTCAGCCCAAAGCCAGAAAATTGTTATTTTCAGTTTGATTCATCCCCCCCTTATGAATGAAAGCAGTGCTCCTATTGTGAGCCAGACCCTTTCTGCTCCCTTCCAAGCCCAGCAGGTTGGGCAGATGGTGCCTGCACCTCCTGTGCAGGATTCCCTTGGTGTCCCATGTCCTGCTCATCTTCATTTCCAGACTTTCAGATCTTTGCTCAGGTGGCAACGTCAGCAGTCACACCTCCTCTTGGCCCCTTCTGCTTTCACTGCCAGGTTTTTCCCAGGCAGTGTGACCAGTGCTGGCCGTAGGCAGGGATGTGGGCACAGTGCCCAGCTGCTGCTTTGGATCCATGGGCAGCTGTGGCTTTGCATCACATATCTTGCTGCTGAGGTGGTCAGACACCATCCAGCAGCACTGGGATCATTTACCTGTTATTGCTCTGCTCCTCCTTTCCTTACTGCCCTGGCACAGCAGCTCTGTGTGCCCCCCAGCAGAGCCTGGCTGACCTTTTCCAAAGCACCACCTTTCTGCTCACCCAGAGGCACCATCCTCTGAAGTGCTCCCACACAGCTGTGCAGTGTGTTTTGCTTTTCAGGAAAAGCATGTCCTGTCCACATATGGCCAAATAGACCAGCAGGACCTCATGGGCTTTTCTACTGGTTTATCAGCCTTCCTTAGCACACTGTCCTAACCTAGTGACAGACCAACACTCAGAGCATGCTCTATTTATTCCATACCTTATAACATTGCCTGGGATATCCACGTAGCATAGGGTTTTTCCCCAAAAGAGAGTTCTTGGTGGGACCTCCTAGCCCTCCTCCTTCTTCCCAGCAGCCTGTGTGATGTACTCCACAGCTTAGCTTTGGCTTTAGCAAGTAGAAAAATCCTTTTTATTTGGTTTCTCATGTCCCTTTCCAGGGTCTGGCCCTTAAGAACTGCTTTAAAATGGCCTCAATCGCAGCAGCAGCCAGACCAGGCACTGGCAGCAGCTGCTGCCCAAGGCACCTGCTGGGATGGGGTGAAGGCTGAAGAGCACAAGGAGAACCATTGGGAGCCCACACCTGTGTGAGGACCCACACATCCACAATGGGGACCACCTGCTCCAGTGGGGGCAAAAAGCTCCATGGGCCTGGGGACTTTAGGACTCGTTTTTTGGCAACATCACCTCGATGCCAGCATGGAGATGGTGGAGCACTTTTGCTGTTGTGTCCCTTCTGCGACGGGAAGGGTTTCAGGGGATGGGGCACATCCACATCCACATCCGTCAGGGAATTTTAAGCAATAACGATGCTGATACAATGCAGCGGGGAGAGGGTGCAATGGGGCAGAGTGCTGCGTGGAGGGGATGGTGGTGACAGACGGACGGCCACCACCTGCTGCTGGAAATGCTCTGTACCCTTGGGCTCAGTGTCTGGGAGCTCTCACTGTGGCAATAAAGGCCCTTCCCCAGCAGCTGTGTAACATGAGAGCCAATGGCTGCCTGGCCCCACGCATTACCCTGAGCAGTAGCTGCCTTAATTCCCCTCCTGCTAATCCCAGCTTTGCTGGCAGCCATGGCTGCACACACACCGCTGCCCCCCCAACCTGCGCCGGGGGCTGACGGCCTTCAGCGGCGCCCTGTTCACCACCAACAAGACATGGGACAGCAGCACTGCTCACCTCTACCATCCAGGTACCCCAGGCAGTTTGACTCCTGCAGCCGTGGGTCCCCTGACCCTCAGCAATGGCTGACAGCAGACATCAGTGCTGTTGCACTGGGCTGGGATGCAGGGGAGGGATGATGGGGGTACCGGGGGTCCTCCCCAGCCCTGCTTTTCTCTGCCCAGTGCACGAGGTGCTGGCCAGCCTGCCCCTCCAGGTGATGCTCTACTTCAACGTCTGCTACTTCCCCTGCTGGTGCCTGGCTGAGGGCATGATGCTACAGCTGAAGGTACCCTTAGCTTTCCAACAGGGAAGGAAGGCTACACTGGGAGGGCAGAGGGAGTAGGGCTGGGGACCAGCATGGGGCTGGCAGGGACCAGGCTGTGCCCTGTTGCAGTACAACCTGCTGCCCCGCTACTACCAGCTCCTCCTGCTCGCTGCCTTCCTCATCCTCACAATGGCCGAAGGAGCCCGGCTCTACCTGGGCTACATTGGGAACCTGCAGGAGAAGGTAAGGGCTGGCCCCCTGCTCCATGCTGGATGTCCCCTTCACCCAGGGTCTGAGAGCCCGTCACCTCCCTTCCTCCTTGAGTGCCAATTCACCGAATCACACGGCATCACAGAATGGCCAGGGTTGGAAGGGACCTCAAGGATATGAATCTCCAACACCCCTGCCACATGCAGGGCCACCAACCTCTCCACTTCATACCAGACCAGGCTGCCCAGGGCCCCATCCAACCTGGCCTTGAACACCTCCAGGGATGGGGCATCCATGACCTCTCTGGGCAGCTGTTCCAGCACCTCACCACTCTCTGTAAAGAACTTCCCCCTGACATCCAATTCAGGATGCTCCAGGAGGTTCAGCCCCTGCAGAGGTGCCCCCCACATACCAAGGTTTCCCATACATCCTCACCAGCCTCTGCCCACACAGGTGCCTGAGCTTGCTGGCTTCCTCCTTCTCTCCATCCTGATCCAGCTGCCCCTCCTGCTGTTCCTGCTCACGGACCACCTCACCATCCGCCTGCCGCTGGAGCTGGCCGTGCACAGCCTTCTGCTGGCCTTCCTCATCTGTGAGGTGGTGGCTGCCTTCCTGGCACTGCGGTCAATGAGCAGGCAGCTGGCAGCTCAGTTCTACCTGCGGCAGTTCAAGGTGGGCAGGCAGGGTGATGCTGTGGGACACGATCCACCCCACTGAGCCCAACAACATTAAACAGCACCAGCTCCCAACGCGCTTCTGAGCACTCTTTTCTGAGCCAGGCAGCTCTGGGGCTCGTGGGGTTCCCTGAGCTCTGCACCAATAAAGGGGTACACGTCCATCTTGATTCCCGGGAGGGCAGAGTTGGGCTGTGCAGCTCAGTGCTTGCAGGATGCAGGTGCACTTTGTGCGACGGTGCAAAGGATGCAGAGCTCCAAGGGAAAGAGCATGGCCAGAGCACCTCCCACTTTGTGAACAGCTTTATTTCAGTGCATCCCTGCTTTTCACAGGGCCAAGTGGGAAGGAAAGAAGCGCAAAGTGCTTTAAGCCTCTTGTGCTGAGCATGGACCGACCCCATCCCAGTGAGCCTCAGCCCCAGCAGCAGCTCTGCAGCACGGCCCTGGAGCTGCATGTTGTGTCAGGAGGACTCTCCATATACTCTCTATGTACCAAGGACTTCTGCTGATGCTGGCACTCCTTCAGAAGTGCAGCAGCACCCAGCCCCAGTGCCCGGCCAGAATTGGGCCACCTCCTGCAGGGTCAAAGCTGTGTTCCATCACATCTACCTGCAGGTCACTCCAGTGTGCATTGCTGAGCATCTCCCAGGTCCTGGCCAGCCCTCTCTGCCTCAGCTGCTGCTTCTTTCTTACCTTTGGGAGGTTTTGCCTGCAAAATGAACAGACATTTGCTACAGTCCAGGGGATGCCCAGATCCTGCCCTGCTCTGCCCATTCCCATGCTAACAGTTCCATTCCTTAAGGTTGACTTGCAATTCAGGTTGGAATAAGGCCAAATGCGTTTCCCCCAGTAGGATGGTGCAGCCCTGGGACACTTCCCCAGGAAACCAGAAAGCCTTGGAGGCTGCCAACACTCTGTCTGAGAAAGCTGAAGATGCCCTGAGCGAGGGCTGGCAGCAGACCTGCTCTGATGGGGAATGAGAGGGTTCTGGAAGGGCTCCCAGTCCACCTGGGCAGTGCCAAGCAGGCATCACACACAGCAAGAAAATCTACAGCATCAACATTGACACAGCTCCCAGATCTGCTGAACTGAGTTACAATCAAAGGGCAAAAAGCAATGAAATCAGCTCACAAAACCTCAGCTCTCCCAGATGGTCCCACAGCCCATCCTCACCTCCTCAAATTTCTCTTTCCAATAGAGGTCAGCCTTCGCATCCAGGTAGAGCAGAACCAGGTCACAGACCATGGTGGCCTAGAGTGGGGACAAATGGAGCAGAGGTGGGGAAAGCTGTGGGTCAGGGTTGGCAGAGGGGAGAGCCACAGTCATAGCCATGCAAGGGATAGGGATGTGTGGGGGAAATGGGGGCTGGTGGGGGACCCCATTACCAGGTCAATGGCAGCAAGTGCCAGGCATGCTACACTGGGCTGCAAATCACGCTTCCTGAAGCTAGGAAGCTGCAGATGGGCAGCGGATCATAGCAAAAGAGCATCTTCTGTACTCACGGTTCCAAAGAACGCGATGCCAGTGCCAAAGCTGACAGCAGCAGGAATTATACCGAACTTCCCAGCCTGAGGAAAACAAGGGGTGGAGGAGAGAAGGCAGAGAGCAGAGAGAGGGCTGTGAGGAGCCCACAGGGAAGCTGTGGGGCTGCAGGAGGAGCGCTGCAGGCAGCGCCAAGGAAGGAGGGTTCAGGGACACGCTACCTGGCCGTGCACAGAGATGTCAAAGCGGATGCCATAGAGCTTCAGCAGGCTCCGGTAGTGCTGCCGCTGCAAGCCCCAGTAGTAGGAGGCTGTTCTGCAGAGGCACACAGGGCTCAGCCACACATCCCTGCACTCAGTCGGGCTCAGTGCAATCATGGCTGGCTTTGCAGGTCCCATCTGCCCTGCTGCTCCTTTCAGGGAAAGGGAGATTCCAAGTGCCAGCAGCGCACCCACCCCAGCGCCCTCACCTGAAGTTGTACCTCCTGTCCAGCAGGATGAAGGAATAGCGTGGCTGGCAGTGGGCAGCAGGCTGGTCCAGGTTGCAGTCCCACTCAATGCGCACGCTGATGCTTCCTCCCTGCGGTGCACCAACACACGTTACATTCCAGGGACTGGAGATGTCAAAGCATCACAGCACGGTTGGGTTGAAAGGGACCTTAATGCCCCCCGGCCCCAACCTCTGCCCTGGGTCAGTTGCCTCCCAGCAGATCAGGCTGCTCAGGGCCCATCCAGCCTGGCCTCCTCTGGGGAATTAGAAGTCATCTTTCATGCTTGAAAAGAAAAAGAAGCAAATACCAGCAGTGCGAGGGACCCAAAGGTCTCCCCAGCCGCTTCCACCATGTCACGGACACGGAACACAGGGCAGGAAGGGCTGAAAAAGGGATCGTAGATGCAGGTCTTGAAATAGGTGGGGTCGTTGGTCTGCAGCGTGTTGCCTCTGAAACAGGAGAAGGAGAGACAGAGGGGTGGTACGCAGCCCTTGGGATGAGCTGAGCGTAGAGGCTGGGCTGGGCAGCACACGCTATGGGCTGGAGGGCGTCACACTTACTTGGAGAAGTTAAATTTGGTGAAGTTGACAGTATTTTTTATAAAAAGAGTGAAATTCTCTGCCTCAGCCAGAAGAGGTTTCCTGCAAAACAACAAAGCCCCGCGATTTGGGCTACATTGGCAGTGACAAAGGACCAAGAATCACAGAACCATTAAGGTTGGGAAAGACCTCTAAGGTCATCTTACGCCTGCCTACCACCACCGCTGCCCACTAACCACATCCCTCAGTGCCAGAACACCTGGAGGGACCGTCCCCATCCCTGTGCCGTACCTGGGCAGGGTGTCATTCTCCACGGGGCACCAGCCAAAGATCTCACAGGTGGAATGGGTGCTGTTGAACATCACACATTTCCCAGTCTTAATCCCTAGAAAGGAGACAACGTGAATGGCGCCCTGCCATTTTAAGGCAGTCTCCAGGATTCATTGCCAAAGGGCACTGGAAGTGGGCAATGAGGCATCGCTACGGAGCTGGAATTGAATGATTTTAGTCTATTTTTTAAGCAAAAAACGCAGTACCATTGCCATGAACCACTGGGTTTCCGACAGGACAGTCCACATCTTCCATGCAGATCCCATCCAGCACAGAGGGGCTCTGAAAGAGACAGGAGAGAAGGGGTCACTGCTGCAGCACCCTTAAGGCTCACAGCCATTCACTCACATCTCCATGCACGTCCCAGATGCTTCCAAACCAGCAGCACAGTCCCCCCAGAGCTGGGATAAGGGGTTCCCCAAGACAGCTTCATGGTTGGGTTGGAAGGGACCTTAAAGCTCACCCACTGGTTGTATGTGAAGAGGTGCAAAGCTTGGGAATTCAGCTACTGAAGTCCACAACAGTGCTTTAGAAAACCTAAATCTGGGTTCCTTCAACACACCCTTCCTATCACCTTCTAGTAAGTCAGCCTTGAAAATCTATTGGTGATGGTGTTCTCCAGGGGCACAAACAGAACCACATTGCACGTGCTACAGGCGCATGGTGAGAGATGAGATCTGCTGTGCAGAAACCCTTGAAACGTCAGGGCTGAAGGTTTTATTGGGGAGCACAGAAAATAAACGTACCTGGGCAGAGAATGACTTCACTCTTTATCAGAAACCACTGCTGATTCTTCAACAGCTGCACAGCCATGCACTGCAGCCAGGAAGCAAAGCCAGCCTTCTTGGAGAGCAAAGGACCAGTGGCATAGATGGGAGCAAACATCTTCTTTAAGATCTAATACCCATCTCACCTCCCTTCATGAGCAACATCCCAATGCTCCCCGAGCTCAGGCAGCTCAAGGTTGCGCCCACAGCCCTGAGAAGCTGTGCCATGCCACACACCACTGCAGAGTGGGGAACCACTGTGCCCAACTCCTCCCATACAGCCCCCCAGCAAGGCTGCTCACCTCGGGACAAGTGCCCTGAACCTGCTTGTCTGTCACAATGAAGTTTGTCACCAGAAAAAGCACATTTTCTCCCTGTGAGGCAAGAAGACACGTTCAGCACGGCGCTGCTGCAGAACACACTTTAGAGCTTCTAACCTCTTCTTCGGGCAGCAGAGCCGGGAAGCTTTACGGGGGGGTTGCAGCCGGGGCTCGCAGAGATGCCGCGGTTGTGGCCCGAGTTCGAATCCCGGCGAGGGACGGGCCCGAGTTCGAATCCC